GTCATCATCATCATCATCATCATCATCATCATCATCACCGTGACAGTAAAAACATGGGAAGTGGATGCAGTTAACGTTTAATACCTTAAAGGATTTGACAGATGAGATGCCGCTGTCTGATTGGCGCTGATAGTCGTAGCGTGAGAAGGGCCCCTTCAGGACGGCCCCTGTGTGCCTCAGGTTGATGGTCTCCTCCACAGCGATGTTACCCCAGTGAGAGACCTCGATGGTGCGGACGATGTTGCTGATGGTGAGGAAGGGCGAGTTGTTCTCGTAATGGATCTTCAATGTATCCTGAACACACAAAACACAGAACATTTCAGCAAACTTTCTCACAGTTTCACCGGAAGTTTGTCGAATGTGGTTCCGAGCTGTACCTCGCTGAACGGAGCCACGTCGCGGAAAGGTCCGTACTCGATGATCTCATCGTTCTTACTCGGGTTACCCAGCTTGGAGTAGGACTCCACAGTTTTGGAGGCCAGGCGGACGCGTGTGGTCTGGCTGCGGATGGGGTAAGGGGAGTACATGTAGTGGTTCCCTTGGAAGACCACCAGCTGGCGCTCGGCCTGGGTGATCTGAGAGGGGAAGGGCTGCAGGACGTGGCTGAAGGTCATCTCCAACTTTGCTTTCAGCTGAGCCCCCGCTGCCAGACTGGAGGGCAGCTGCACTTTGTAGAAAGCCCCACTGTGTGGAAAAGGATGAGACAGAGAGGAGCATGGGTAAGAACATTTGCATAATAATTTAAATTCTGCTGCTGGTGGATTATTGCTGCTGTCACAAAATAATTTTCATTTAGGATGAATAAAATATCTATGTATTTTTCTATCTATCTTAGATCAGCCTCTCAGGAACTAAAAAAGGCAATCTTGTTTTAAGGAATTTATTTTTGGGATATGGAGTTTTATTGATTTACATTATACATAGAAAAATGCTGCCAAAATGACAAATTATTTGTCTTATAAATTGCAAATATTTGTTTGTTTTTTTAAATAAAAAGTCACTGGAATGAATTAATCTGTGTCTTTTTTTGTGTTTGGAGTTTCTGAATGCTGGAGCGAGGAACTGTTTGAAAACAGTGTCTTATATGTTGTTACTGGCTGTTCTCAGAATCTATTTAGACAATGTAAGAATCCACTCTCTTACCTTTGGCCCTGAATTGTTGTCTGTTGGAGTTCAAGTGTGCCATCATCCTCCTCATCACCCTTTACCTGTAGGAAACATGGTGGTTTGAGCATACATTATTTAAAAAACACTTTCAAGCGAAACACATTTCTGAGCAATCAATATTGGAATTCGTTACTTTAAAATAAATGTACAATGTGAGTTAATCGTCTCAAACAGAGCATTGATACAGTTTAATACATCATGAAAGGGGGCTGGCCTGCACAGTCACACACGGAAGCGATCTGCCCAGCTCATACGTGTCGCTCAGCCACTGACAGAGCGTGCAGCCTGCGGAAGTTAACATCCCTAGTCATTCAAAAAATGAATTAATCTAATATAAATTGAGCCGTTTTTTACATTATGTCGCACTGCAAATGATCTGATCCCCAAAGTCTGCACTAATCAATATAATCGTACATGCTGAAATAGTAGCTAACTGACTTCCTATAACGTGACTCCCCTCACTGAATCACACAAGTCTGATGTTAGCTAGTAGCTGTGATTGCATGCATGCACATTGTAAAATATGCTAGCTTGCTATTTACAGTATTGCTGCAGCCAAATGAGAAGAAAATGCATAATTTGAGAGCAGCAAGACTTTGCACAGGCAAGCATTTAATAGCCTACTATGAGGTTGCTAACATGCTAAAGCTAGCTAGCCGGTTACAGCCGGAGGTGTTAGCGTTGCTTAAGATTCACTAGTGTTTTAGGCTCACCGAAGCTCCGATGTAAGCCAGGTTCGGGACTAGTTCAGCCTCTATCCCTAATATGAAGTTATGAGCGGCGGAGGGTCCCTGGTTGGACAGCACGATCTCCGCCGTGATCTTAGCCAGATGAGTGCTCAGGTCCACGGTTCTTTTCACGTCCTCGTAAACCAACCCGTCAGCAGAAACCTCCGAGCCCACAGCGGCCAGAAGCAGCAGCAGGCACGCTGCGAGAACCGGCGTCTTTCGAGCCATGTTTGGAGAAATTCAGAACTGAAATACCGGGAATAATTGCAGACAGAGACGGAGGGATATGTAGAGCAGCAAAGAAAGGCCGCCGTGCCGCTCTACATCAGAAAGGATGACGCTACATTCGGACCAACGTCATGACGTCACGGTGCGTGCTGCACGTTCACAAAGCGCCCTGCGTCGGACCCGATTGTGAAATCTAACAGGTAAACAACGTTTTTAAGATACAAATCTATGGATAAAACCGATAAAACCAAAACTTGCTTTTTAAGACGACAACATAAAAGGTTTACCTCTCATTGTTGTCATGTTCTACTGTCATACCATTCCAACTGAAATATTAATGTTAGTTACTTTGCCTATTGATGACAGCGGTCCAGTTTACTATCAACAAATCAAAAACACCGAATTTCGTTGCGTTTCACCGAATGGGGTTTTGTGTTTTTATATGGTTTGTTTATGACACATTGTGTTTGACTAGTTTGACCACACCACTTGGCCACACATGAAGCCGAAATAGCTCAGTTGGGAGAGCGTTAGACTGAAGATCTAAAGGTCCCTGGTTCGATCCCTGGTTTCGGCAGGCATCTGACTTTTAGTCTCTGTGTGGAGGATGGAACATGACACAAGTATGAATACATAAATACAGGGATACATAAATAAATACGGGAATAAATAAATGTGGAAATAAACTGCGTGTTTCACACAATATTGTTCTGCTTGGTAGCATTGGATACGGCAACATTTATAACAAATGTTGCTCTTGAAGTTGTGCACGTGTCTTTAACAATATCTTTGAGTTGCTATAATATTTTATTTCACTTCTTCGGACCAGTCCCCCTTTTATTTGGGAGCTTTGTGTCAAGTTGTATAGACAATGTAAGGAGAAACCCATGACTCTTCTCTCTTCAATAACTATTTCAAAAGCTTTCAGCACCGGGAATTTCCAGCATATTCATGTTCTGTATAAACCTTAAGGCCCCCTGAGACAAAAGTACAATTTGTGATATCGGGCTGATAAAATAAACTTCGATTTATTTATATTGATGTATTTGGCGCAAGAAGTACACTTCTCTTCAGAGCCCCTCAACAGCCAGATATAAATGTTTATTAGCGTCAACAATGGTGTTGCTAAAGGTTTTGCTACTACCTAAAACCTATGCCTAAAACTCAGTAACAGGATGGGATTTCTAACAGGTTTGAGATTTTTGATTTTGAAGCTCTTCTCCACTATAGCGGTGAGATAACGCACACATTTAACAAGCAGCACAATACACACTAGGATAAAGCAACATGATAACTGCTTGTTGTTCAGAAATAATGAAGTCATAGCCTGACTGTCCCAATCGAGATAACCGTTTTGTTGTTTGAATGGAGGTTTTGTTTTAATGGGAAAAAAACCTGAAGTTTGGTAAAGTTGGAAAGGTACCGAGGCTCCATTGTTTTTAAAGGACATATTAAAGAAACCTGACTCCAGATGCCCTGGTAGGCAGCCTTGTGTTTTCTGAACAGATATAAGAAATTGGACTGTCCCTTCCTGTGATGAGTTTCAACAAATGTTTTTACAATATCTCCTCTGACAAGTTCTCTCCTCCTCATCTCAAAGTGTACCATCGTTAAAATGTCATGAAAGAAATGTTTTGCATTGTAACGGATATTTACTTAAAAGGTAAAATACCATTGGACAGGTTATAAAGCTCGAAGGTAGAAGCTTTTAATTGAAGATAATGTTATAATGTAAGGTAATAGTAAGATGTTAATGCAATATGTGTGTGGCTTGTGTGTGTAAATGGATGTCTGCCAACCTGAGGGTTCAACTCCGAGCATGCTCTATTGTTTTGTTATTTTACCTCACCGAGCTGCCGGGGAGGAACTCTTGCAAGTTCTTTAGAGAATAACAGCTCTCGGAAACTCTTGTAAAAACGTTTTTAATTGTGGTGTAAAAAACGGAAAAAGGTAGAAAGATATTTATGCTTAATTCCAGTTTTTTCTAACGGACATATTCAGGTAGTCCCATTCTACCCTTAATATACGAATGAGCCCAGTCTGTAACATTTTGATGAAATACATCTGGGTGTATGTATAAAATACATCTGGGTGTAACTGGCACAAGGAGTAAATGGATACCAATGTGGGGGTCAGTTTTTTCTAAATGTTTTCCGGAACAGATGTGAAAAATTGATGGTTACTACTGGAGATGAGTTCAAACAAATGTTCTTTAACAATATCTTTGTGTCGCCTTGTAACCCTAATAAAGGTAGATGCCAATCCTGTAAAATTTGACTGGAATAATATGTAGGCTACTGGTGTCTTTGGCTGAAGGGGTAAATGGATGCCTAACAAGCAGAGGGTTGGTGGTTCGCCTAGATGGCGTGTGTGGGTGACAGAGTACAGAGTACATAAATGCTATTCAAAGAATTATAATGACAATTAAAAATACAATGATTAAATAAAAAAACGATATCAATACATAAACAATGACTCATTAAATAATAATTAATATTGATAGAGTACAGATGTTGTTTTTTTAGCTCATCTGATTCTATTTTACATGTATTTAGTTCACCTCTCCTGCATTACTTGCACATTGGTCACTTGCAACATTCTCTTGCATTATTTTACTTCTATTCTGTTTCTTTTTGCACTATTTTTATTGTTTTATGTCTTATGTGATGGGATTGTAATTGCCATACCTTCACTGTAGCTACGGTGCTAACCGATTTGAGCACCAGGAAAAGCACTATATAAATAATAATATATTATAATTAATATTATTATTATTATGAGATAAAACCGTTGAATGCTTGAGTCAAGTGTTGTTGACTTGTCCTGTGCAACAAGGCGTGTCCATGGCGTGACGTCAGCCATCCCGACAGAGCTTGTTTTGGAGGAAGTGAGCAGAGCTCAGCTAGCAGCTAGCACGGTTAGCTTGACAGGGGAAAGCAAAGCATCAACGGGAACGAAACCGAACATTGTACCAAATCGCTTCTGTTACACGAAGGGAGGGATATATCGGCAGTGGCAGTGTCGATTTTGATAAGCAGGCTTAGCTGCGAGGCTAGCTATCGGAGAATATTGAGCTGTTGATGCGCTAAAAAGTGTTGTTTTCTGACGGTTTACAGGATCTGTTAGCCTGTTAGTTAGCCTAGCTAGCGCTCCCAACTGAGGCAGAAGAAAAGTCCCACTTTTGATCTTTTCTACCGCAGGATCATCGCCCAGGTTGGTTTGAGTTGTCTGTCGTACTTGTTTTTTTTACTAACAATATACACAATAACGATATAGCTGTCGTCAACTTAGTTTCACATTTGGTCAAATCCTTGCTTAGCTCACTAAACGTTAGCTTAAATCAAGAAGTGTCACCGATGTGGTAATTGTTCGCTGACACGTTATGAAAATTAGTATTTAGTTGATTTGTAAATTGTCTTTATTTAATAACAATACTATTCACCTAGCCATGTTTCATAACGTTCTTCTATGCTTAACTAGCTATCTGGAATTTGATCTCCAACATGTATGTTTGATGTTTTAATGGTTACAATTTAAAATATGAAGTCTGTTTATTAACTAGAAATATATACTACCAGAAAAGTGTATATATTGACTGATCATACCTATGGATTACACCGGTGTGTTTTGTCTTAAACTACAGCATTTGCTGTGCTAATCATGCTTGCCAAGTCATGGTTCCGTTAGTCCTGTGTTTTAAAACCATGTGACCAGTCCCTGACACAGTGTCATGGGGTGCAGATTATGAGCCGACCGCAGCGATAGCTCTATGCTAGCTTTGCCTCATAATAGCACTGATGTGGATTCAAGGCGCTGCGTTTTGATACACATTAGTGGTTGAGTGTTGTGTAGAGAAACCCTATTAATGTTTTTTTCTTCCATAATGCTTTCTCCAGGGTCTAACAGAAGGGAATTATGATTTAAAGCCCATCGGTAATACAGTTTGGACTTTGCTCATACAGCTGTACGAGGTGGTTTATTATTACAATGCAGCACACTCAGTCAAAATCAGAAAGGCTTGGTGATGTCTTGAGCAGACACATAAAAGAGATTTATTGCAAATACAACCAGTACCTCTGAATATCATTAGTTATCAGAAATATGGTTTATATCTTTTTAATGTAAGAAGACACATTTCTGCTTGTCTTGTAAAAACTCACTAGCACATTTAGTTAGGATGAATTTAAAGGATCTTGGAAATAAAGATGAGTCAATCGGGGAAAGAAGATTGCATCAACACCTGCTCATCTGGTTTGACAATAACAGGTCTCAGTTGGGAAGTCCTCATGAAGCAATTCAGTATTGACATGTGATGATAAGATCCATGGCTTCATTCAGTGTGTTTCGAGTGAATGTGGTTTTGATGTTTTTTTTTCTTCTATGTATGCTTTTTAAAAAGCTGCACATTTAATCTTGGGGAAAGATTATACTTTTTTGTTTTAATCCATTGAATGGTTTGTGAAAATATATAACACCAAATCTACACTTTACAGTATTAATAATTACAGCTAGCGTTTGTGCTCAAAATAGTTTATTTCATCAACATCCTGAGCACGGCATTGTTCAAATAACTGTGGGTAAAAAAAACAAATATAGTGAATTGTGCGTTTTATGAATTGTTTTGAGAGCCTGTATTTAGAGCCTCTTGCTACATTGTGTTGCAGCTTATTGTTTTACACCAATTGCTGTATTTTTCTTTGTGAAGTAAAGGAAACTGGACTGTAGGAGTGACTGCAGTTGGTTTCATTCCTAGAACAGGCCCATTTCTTTGACATTTATTTGGAGATCACACACATGTTATCATCTTTCAGTCAAAGCTGTTGGCCCATAACTAAAGAGTCATCACTCAGGCATCGCTGTATCCGTCTTGTTTGAGCACTTCCAATGTTGCCCTGCTTTTACTAGAAGACTTTTATTCTCCCATCTTCTCTACTTTTTTTTTTTTTTTTACAGCTGTGGCACAATGACGTCAAGGAAGAAAGTTCTACTCAAAGTCATCATCCTCGGAGACTCCGGGTGAGTGTCGTTGAGCCTTAGCATCGAAGCACTTCATTAGGGGATTTAATCTATTCCTATAATGATTTTGTGTGCACCATGAATCAATGCACCTCAGTGGCTTCATCACAGTCTCTGAATGTTGTCCTGTGATTTATTTGTTTCCTCCTAGAGTTGGGAAGACCTCGTTGATGAACCAGTATGTGAATAAGAAGTTCAGTAACCAGTACAAAGCCACAATAGGCGCTGATTTCCTGACGAAAGAAGTCATGGTGGATGACAGACTCGTCACAATGCAGGTACTTTGAAAATCACCTTCACAAAAAGGCCATGCTAACCTATCTTTCATTGAAACACAATGTACATGTCTTAAACCAGCACTAAATGCAACAATGGTCTGCCAAGGGTTTTAATGTGTACCAGAGTAAAGGCAGTATTTCGTTCTACAACTGTCAAAAGCATTTAATGAATAGTTAAAAGAAACCACAAGGCTTCAACTTTTTGTGTATTTTCATTACCACAATCATTTTGTAACAGTCGTATTTAGTTAAATCCAGAGAAATAAATCCAAAGAATCTATAATGTAAATAGCCTCATCCCAATACCCCTCCTCGACTCCTCCTTTCCCTCACTCGCGTCCCTTCCTTGCGTCTTAGCTCCACCTCCAAGATGCGAGCGAGAGACACGAGGAGGAGACACGAGGACAGAGGAGTCCTCAGGTATTAATTGGGACGTCCTCGTTCACTCAAACGTCACTTTTAAACGACGTCTGTTAATGATGACATGTGCACAGCTGTAGGGCTTTACTGAATAACCCCTCAGAACCGGCCCATTTGTTGTTAAATATTTATTTAAATGAATGCTGTCAAAATTATCGCGTTAACGGCGCTAATAAATTTTTTGAATTAATTGCGTTAAAATATTTAACGCATCTAACGCATGTGCAGAATGGCCCGCCCCATACATCCCACCACTGGCAGCGCCAGGGTATGGCTGGGGTAGGCTACACCCATACCAAGAAATGGCTTAGCCCCATCATGAAAAATGATGTTAAAGTAAGCAAAATAAAGTCTGCCAACTCGCGCCGAGAATTGCACAGACAGCAGTTAGTAAGATTGATTTCAGTAGCCACTTGTCTGGAAATACCGAAGACCAGAAACGGTTTTGAAAACTTTTGTCACGTAGTGATCGTCTTCTCAATAGAACATCTTTGATAATGTCTTCTGGCCAATCAGAATCAAGATAACGGCGTGTTGTTGTTGCAGGAAGTCCCGACGGAGAATACTTTTGCTGTAGTACAGGGGTGCACATAACTGGTACGCAGGTTATGTGCGCAATCTGAAATGCGTACCGTCACTTGTGTCACAAAGTGCATTTGCGTACCGACGTACCTGTGAAGCTTTTCCAGAAGGCGGTTAGATCTCCGGACGACAGAGTCGGTCTCCGTGTGCACAGACAGGGCTGCTGTTAACGTCGGTCTGTACAACGGAATTGTGCCAAAACTACGCCAACCGGCTGCGGAGGGAGACTCCCCCCCCCTTCACTGGAGAACTGCGCTAAAACAGCTGATCACAACGTTCACACTCCACTAGCCCCCCGCCCGTTGACTTTCCTGAAGTACTCCCCCATTGATAGAAATCAACACGAAATGAATTAAGACCTTTTAAACTACCAGGTGGCCGAAAGGCCAACCTTCCCGGAAAGGGTTTTTTTAGGGGGCCTTTTGAAAAAAAAGAAAAAAGTTGACAAACCTTCGCCTGGTTTTGCGGCTTCGCTGTCTGGTGTTACGTCCAGCCCGTCTTCGCACTGCGTGGGGTAAAGTTTCACTCTACCCTTCTTCCCAAACTTCGAGTTGCGTGCGGCGGCACACCTGCCGGCATTGGAGTTGACGGTTCTCAGGATTGGTCCTCATAACAGTGATTTAATGAGGTTTTACCTTTTATGGAAAGATTAAATGAATTTTTTTTTTTTTTGTTATCGAGTAGGGTTATGGGGAGGAGCATGAGAGGGAAGGGGAGAGGGCCCCTGAACTGGCCTTTTAGACATAGAATTCTGGTGCGGTAAAAACTTTCTTCAGGGTTAATCGAACTTTTACGTGGGTGCCTCCTCAGCCTCCTCCCCTTCCTCCCTCCCACACCCTCCTTGCTTTCCCTCCTATGTGCGCTCGTCTGATCCACCTTCCACGCAAAGTGTGAGCGCATATTTTCGGGGCGGTGGTGGAAAGTGTCGACCAGCCTAAAGTTGTCTCCTTTTGGCAGTGACCCTTTAACTCACCTTTTCGCGTTATTTACATATTCACGAGGTGTCGGAGACCACCCCTTAATAATACACGTTAGTAAAAATTTTCCGAAAGTGTATGATATTAATCATAAAAATAAATTTACATCCGATTGTAAAATGATGTTTTGCCTTGTCCCTTTCGTCCTGGTTGGTAGTATGTAACTTAAGGAACTGATTGTTCTCTTTCTCAGTGAGTAAATTTTAATCCCGACAGTTTGCTAATTTGGTAAACAAATTAGTCTAATTAGTGTCGAATTTTTACATAATTAGTACTAATTAGTGGTAAGCTTGACAGGTTTATACCGTAAAAGAAATACATATAACAACACCCTTGACCTTTGCTATTTACTTGCTTCACCTACTATATAGGTAAAATTGGGTATGTTTTTCATACGGATACAAATAATATTGTAAAAAGGACACACAGTTTTACTTTCTGTCGTGGTGTGTGGATAAGTTAGTA